CCATTCTTCTTCCCTGTTAGTCTATACAGAAACCATAGATAAAAGATTAAACTACCTAAAATTAAATTATTATTTTAAAAATACTACACGAAATTCAAAGGCAAGGGATATATCAATAAAAATTGATTTTTATAATATGATATATTTTACAGTAAAAACACTCTTGTAAATCAGTAACAAGGAAGCAAACATCCCTTTGGAGAAATGGGCAAAGGACAGAAACAGAAAATTCACAAAAGATGAAATATAATGGCTCAGAAGCACGTGATAAGTGTTCATTTGTCAAAAAAAAACTTGATAAAATCTGTTTTTCTATCAATTCTACTATCTAATGTCAAGAAGAACATGGGAAGAAGAAACATTTTATATACTTTTGTGGGATTATATTAGTTCTGTATTCCAGGTAATACATATCAAAGAACTCTTTGCTGATTTTATATTAAGGAATAATTAAGAGCAGCTTAAAACATATAGTTAGAAGGATATGCACTGACACAGATGTCCTGAGCGATAGTTAAATACATCCCTAAACCAGAATCTTCAACCTTTAAAAATCATGCAGCAATAACTATTGATATGGAGAATTTACAATCTATCAGCTAAGAAAAGCAGGTTGCATTTTTGTGTTTTAAAATCTTATTTAGGTATATATACAAAAACCATCACTGCAAGAATATGAACAGTGGCGATTTAATCATGGTAAGTTTATGCATTTAACAGATATTTATATCTATATGTCTTTAATTTTCTTACAGTCAATATGCATCACTTTATACAATATACAAATAACACATTAAGCAAACAAAAGTTGGAATATCATAAAGTAAAAATAGAGATATGTTACACATAGATAGGAGACCCTTACTCATAGACAGGAGACTCCATGTAGAATGCAGCTAAATCTGAGAATGTATGGTAGAGAGGGGTTTGGGGAAGCATCGATGAATAGCTAACATCTCATTTCAGACATTAAGTCATCTACCATCTCTCCACTTCACCTATCCATTGTACAAGCCTGCACAAAACTGAGAACCAAAAGTCAATAACCACTGCTTCTTGTTTCTCCATTTATTAAGAAACACTGCATCCACTGACAAGAGGGTATAAATGCCATCACTGCAGTACTTAACTCTTAGAGGAAATGCAAATTGTCAACAGGCATATGAAAAAATGTTCAACATCCCTTATCATCAGGGAAATGCAAATCAAAACCATACTGAGATACCACCTTACACCAGTAAGAATGGCACATATTAAAAAAACTAGCAACAACAATGTTGGCGAGGATGTGGTGGAAAAGGAATTCTCCATTGCTGGTGGGAGTGCAAACTGGTCCAACCACTATGGAAAGCTGTCTGGAGGTTCCTCAGTCTACTAAAAATGGAGCTACCATATGATCCAGCAATTTCATTCCTAGGGATCCACCGAAAGGACATGAAAGCATTGATTCAAAAGAACACCTGTATCCTTATGTTTATTGCAGCACTATTTACAATAGGTAAAACCTGGAAACAACCCAAATGGCCAAAACTAGATGACTGGATCTAGAAGATGTGGTATATATACACAATGGAATACTATTCAGCAATCAAAAAAGATAAACTCATGCCATTCGCAGAAACGTGGATGGAGCTAGAAGGAATTATGCTCAGTGAAATAAGCCAGAAGGAAAAAAGAAAAATACTGGATGGTTTCACTTATAGCAGGAATATAGGGGAACCAAATAAGACATCAGTGTAAAAAAACAATTAACAGTACAAAACACAACAAAGCAAAAACAGACAATTATAAATCAGAGACATCCTGCAGGGTGTGAGGAGGAAGAGGGATCAGAGGGAGGGAAGGAGGAGCACAGGGGACTGAGGTGATGGGACACGGGTGCATTGGGGAAGGAAACTCTATGGGGACTACACCTGAGGGGGTGGGGGGAAGCAAATATTGTTTAAAAATGAACAACAATGTAAAAAAAATTTTCAAAATTAAAAAAAAAGAGTAGGGTACGGGGCCTCCCTGGTGGTGCAAGGGTTAAAGACAGTGCTCTCAAGCTACTGCCAGCCACTGCAACATGAGTTTGATTCCCTGGCCAGCCTGGGAGCTAACCCACATGGTGCAGCAGGCCTCTCCTGTCTTGTCCGCTGCTCCCTTCAGCAGTGTGTTTCAGTAGATCTGCCTGTTTTGCTCCCCACTCTGTCTCTGGCAAGTCCTCTCACCTCTCACACCTCTGGCCTACACCCAAGCTCTTGTATGCATAAATAAATACATCTTTTAAAAAAAAAAAAAAAAGAGTAGGGTCCATCAGGACTGGAGCCTGACAGCCACCTTCATAATTGGAAATAAGAGGGTCCTTGTGGAGTGTGATTTCCTCTCATTCTATAGGCAACTAAGGAATTTTTCTTCACTAGACCCAGTGTCTGTTGCCTGTCTTAACTCTACCTAACAAAGAAACATCTTCACCTAGCAAGCACACATCCTTGACACCCTTCATGTAGGTTTTTTTGGGGTCACAGAGTCTACAGAGTTGTAGAGCAGATATTGTCCAAGTCCTAGTGCCACAAAGGTTTTTGGCAGCCCTTTCTATTTCCCCGGCTCTCTTCACACAAGAGTTATTCTAAATAGTTCCCCCCTCTCATATCCTAAACCCCAAATCCATCACTCTTACTCTCAACAAATTCTTTCTTCTTTATTTTTTCAGGAGGGGTAATCAGGCCTTAAGTCGTGAATATCCTCAAGTATTCCTTTCTATTTCGGAGCATATGAGAGTCTGTATCCGCCATCTCTTCCTTCCCTCTTTCCTCTTCATTGCAAAGATGAAATGCCCCTCTCAGTCTCCTCAGCCAGCCTTGTGGGGGCTAGGATCCTGGTCACCTCACATTCCCCTTCTTTCTTTTCTTTTCCAGGAGGTCTACTCAGTGTCAGTGTCTATGTTTAAGGTGTCTGGATTCACACCTCTACAAATGTATGTTACCCCTTCTCTTTCAGATCTCTCCCTCCTTCTCTCATCCCTTTACCTTCTCTCCCAACCTCCCCACTGGGTCCCTCAGTTCCATAAGTCCAAGTTTCATCCCACTTTGCACTTCCTTCTGCTATACATTTCCAGACCTGGGCATCTATACTGGAACCTCTTCAGTTTATCATGTCATGAAGCATCAAGAGTAAGGATTTATCATCAGAAGGCCCAGAGCACACACACAGCTCTGCCATGGACCATTTCCATGACCCTAAGTGAGCAAGTCACTTAATTCTTCCAAGTCAATTGCCTTTGCTGTGAAATGCAGCTAACAATACCTGCTCCTCCTCCCTCACAGCTATGTTGTGAGGATCAAGGGGATAATGTGTGTGAAAGTGCTCTGTGAGATTACAAAGCACGTCATCATTCCAGTTATTCTTGTCATTACTCTCTTCTCATTATCCTTGACCTCACAGAATCAACTAAGGCAGGGGCGTTGATTTGTAACCTTCAGGTGGGTCATGATGATAACATTAACAATACTGCATTGTCAGCACTTTAGCTTCTACTTGACTTACTAATTTGGTAATAATATTTCATTCAAAACAAGGGAAAGCTTTGTTGTTGCTGTCTTTTAATCATTCAGGATTCTCTTTTTGTCACTTACATATTTTATTTTTTTAATGAAATACTGTTATTTTACATCCTTTTTAGTATTTTGACAGTATAGGATTTCTGCCTTCAGATGTGGTCATGGTCGTTCTCCCTCCACCATAGTCCTGCACATGGGCTTCTGAATAACAATAGTAGCAGCCAACAATTACTGATACATACCAAGGGTCAGGCACTGTTCTAAAGGACTTTACATCAACTATCACCTAGCGCTTCTACAAGAAAGGTTTTATTATGGCTTCCACTTTATTGATGGGAAAACTGAGGCAGAGTGGTAGAGACATGAATTAAATTGGGTATCTAGCTTTAAAGTCCATGCTCTGACCCACTGTTGTGCAATTCCTTTCATGACAAAGTGGGGTCTAGAATGGAGAGAATCCCATCAGGAAGCCCTAATTGTTGAGTGTTAGGGGAAAGAGATTATATGGATCTTAACAAGGACACCTGAAATGTTTTAAAAGGCAAAGTTCTTCAAATTGCTAATTACCAGTGTGGCTGAGGACTTTGGGTCATCAGGCACTTCCATATACTTCCAGTGAGGGGAAAAAAAAAACCTGGGTATAACCTTTTGAGAAGACAATCAACAGAGCACATCAAAAACCTGGAAGATACACTACTGCCCTATTTCCACTGACTCAGCAATGCCACTTGCAGCAATTAAATCCCAGGAAGATAATTTTGGAGATGCACAAAACATCTTCAATACAATATTGTTTTTACAAGTAAATAAAGAAAATAATACAAACACGGCCAACAAAAGGAGACAGGATAGACAAATTGCTGCTTATCCATATAAATGAACACTTACACTTTTTTCTACACATTTAAAATATAGGGGGAAAAATAAGCATTTTGTTAACGAAAAGATGTAAGAAAAATTCTTTGGTGTGGGTACGTTAGTGTCTGATGTCTGAGTGGGTTTACCAGCTTGGAGGGCATGGGTGAGTCATGTAATATCTCTGAGTCTCAATTTTCTTATGTGCAAATGGGATCATGAAAAGTACCATTTTACAGGCTGTGTGAATTAATAAATAGCAGTAAAGAACTTGGCACAGAGTCAGGCATGAAGCACGCATGTGACAAATGTTACTTACCTGCAAAAACCTAGTAAGTGAATACTTTCAACACACACGAATACACACACACAGACACACACACACAACAAATAACTTTAACAATGATTATCTCTGGAAGTGGAATGACAGATTTTCTTCTTTTAAACGCTCTGTATTTTCTAAATTTTCTTTACTTGAATAAAGCCAATAGTGTATTAAAGTAATTCCTTTTTTTCAAGTAGTCCCAATAATACTCCTTTCACTCTATTAAGTTTCTCTAGTATAATTCAGTCTATGTATATGGTGCTTATGGAAATAGGGCATACCTTTATTGATTTAATCTGAAGGGTAATACATTTTCATTTTTCTTCTTCAGAGTCAAATAGCTTGCTCATATTTCATCCTACAAAAGTCTTTTCTGCACTCTTATACATTCGCAGATTAAGAGAATTCTGAAGGGATCATTAGAGCATAAAAGATAGAGGTGGAGAATGGATTAATGTCTCTAAAAAGCAAAGTGAAAGGAGACAGACATGACAACTTCATGATAGTTATAAGGAAAAAAGCATATCTTACCTCGATTATGTAAGGCCAGAAATTACTGCAATAAATATTTCAACTCCATGGACAATTTCCTAGTGTGGTCAAAAGATGGAAGTAATTCAATATTTCAGCAGTCCATCCAGTATGGTGACAAGCATTCTGAAAGAAAAAGAATCTCATTGAAGGAAATGTGACAAAGCAATATTCCTTTTGAGGTTTGAGACCTATGGGAGAGGCGAATCAATTATTAGAGATGGCTGTGCAGTTTAGAAATCAAAGCACAGTTAAGTCATTCTCCTGTTGGGGGCAGAAGGAGCAGGTCAGAATAAAAGGGAACATAAGATATCATGCAAACATGAGTCACCTTTGCCCTAGGTAAAAGCTAGCTGCTTTCCCGTGAAGTAACTCACCATCATTCAAAGTAAAGGACTGGTTCCCGCTGCCTTTCACCTGTTACTGTAGTCCATATATTTGTCAATATATAAGTCAGCTTATGAACACCACTGATTTTTACATTTTGATACCCCTGTCATTTCAGACTCAGACTGCTCTGTAAGAAATATGTGAGCTTTCTCTTAAAACTAAATCCACTGAGGACTTTTCTCTGTGCAGCATCTCCCTAGGATTAAAACCCAGGGATTGTTTTCACATTATCCCTCTCCATCCTAAATCCAAGATGAGTCAACACCACTTTCCCTTGATGTTCTGCTGCTTCCTACCTGATTGTTCACTCCTCTGCTAATGCTATTGTCAAATTCTTTGGCAACCTTACCTTTTGTCAACAACAGTCTCTAACCTGGCCTCTCTCTGCAACCTTCACCTGTCCACTTTCATCCTATTATGTGTGCAACCTTGAGCAGTCCACTGTCTCCTGCGTCTATGTTTTCTTATCTGTAAAATCAAGAGCTAATTTAATATTCTCTATTCTCATCGGTGCTTTAGAACTAGATGTCCCTAAGCTTAAATCCTGGCCCAGGCACTCTGCAGGACTTAATTTCATCAAAATTCATTTTGCTATATATGTATAATCTACCCCCAAACTTTATTATCTACCCCCAAACTTCTGTAAGAATAACAACCATGGGATTTTGTGTCTGACATATAGCAGGTGCCCGAAAAGTGCCGCTCACTCCCACCTTACCTTACAAGATATGTATCCTCTACCTTTGAAGTTCTCTGTTCTTCTAACTTTCAAATCTGACATTCTCATATTTTTTAAAGATTTATTTATTTATGCATACAAGAACTGGGGTGCAGGCCAGAGGTGCAGGAGGAGAGAGGGTTCACCAGAGAAAGGGGGGAGCAGAACAGGCAGATCTACTGAAACATACTGCTGAGGGGGAACAGCGGGTTGGTCAGGAGAGGTCTGCTGCACCATGTGCTTTGGTCCCTGGCCAGCTGGGGATCCAACTTGCTATCAAGCGATAGCTTGATAGCTCTGTCTTTAACCCCTGCACCAGTAGGGAGGCCCAAGTCTGACATTCTCTTATGTCCAAATCTATTGTCAAAGTAATTTCCTCTTCCATTAAATATAAACTCTGCGGCTGTATCTCAGGTTCTTCCATACTGGCATTCTACTTAACTTCCTTCAATTTTCAACAAATATGTTCTATTGTAGTTAAATACATGTGAAAAAACAAATTTCAAAATTATACCCTGCCTAGGCACCTATTTTTCTCAACAAGGCACAGCTTTACTTATCTCATCTGGAAAGGTCCAGCTTGACAGTCTAGGGCCTGTGGATGTCTACCTTTTAGACAATTTGACCTTCACACAATGGTTTAATAGTATGACCCACTGTTTTGTGCATCTTAAACTTAGCTGCCCAGCTGTAAGGGAACTGTTCTGATTATTTCAAGTTAGTTTTAAACTTAAATGTGGACCACATTAAGGTTTTCTAAAAACCCAGAGTTTATGGGTCGGCTCTACAAGTGCTTTTTAAAATTTATAAGACTTTGTGCCTTGAGGTCAAGATTCTCTTATTAATCCCGCCACTTTTATTTGTATGAAAAGGTTCACACAGGGGGCATTTATTCCATTATCAATGAATAGACCATTCATAGATCACTTAGGGGCATTCCCCTGCAGTTAGGAACTGTGCTCCTCTCAAACACCATTTTTTTTGTTTTTAAATTTTTTTAATTTTATATATTTTTTACATCATTTTTCATTTTTGCACAATGTATGCATTTTCATCTTGGTTATAGTCCCCACACAATTCCCACCCTCCCTTGTTTTAATCATACTCCCTCCTGCTCCCCCTCTGCCCCCACAGTGTGTCTCTGGTTTATAGTTGCTTATTGATTTTGATTTTTACTTTATTAAAAATTAGTCTTTTTCCTGGTCCCTTATTTAGGTTTTCTAAATTCCTGCTATGAGTGAGACCATCTGGTATTTTTCTTTTTCTTTCTGGCTTATTTCACTGAGCATGATCCCTTCCACCTCTATCCATGTTGCTGCAAATTGCATAAGTTTATCTTTTTTGATTGCTGAGTAATATTCCATTGTGTATATGTACCACATTTTCTTGATCCAGTCATCTATTTTTGGGCATTTGGGTTGTTTCCATAGCTTAGCTATTGAAAATAGTACTGTATAAAATCAGGGATGCAGATGCCCTTTTGAATTAATGTTTCTGTGTCCTTTGGGTAAATATCTAGGAGTGGAATTGCTGGATCATATGGAAGTTCCATCTTTAGCAGACTGAGGAATCTCCACACAGCTCTCCATAGTGGCCGGACCAGTTTGTACTCCCACCAACAGTGCAGGAGAGTTCCTTTTTCTCCACAACCTCGCCAACACTTGTTGCTAGTTTTTTTAATATGTGCCATTTTCACTGGTGTAAGATGGTATCTCATTGTAGTTTTGATTTGTATTTCCCTGATTACAAGTGATGCTGAACATTTTTCCATATGCCTGTTGGCCATTTGCATTTCCTCTTTGGAGAAGTTTCTTTTTATCTCTTCTGCCCATTTTTTGACTGACTTTGTTTTTGTTAAGTCTCATCAGCTCTTTGTAGATTTTGTCATCAGTCCTGTATCATTAGTATTGTGTGCAAAAATTTTCTCCCAATCCATGGGGTGTCTCTTTGTTTTGGTTACTGTCTCTTTTGCTGTACAGAAACTCTTTAATTTGATGTAGTCCCAGCTTTCAAACACCATTTTATATCCAAAACTGTTAGTAGCAACAAAGATGATTCACGGTGGGGGAAGATGACTGCTGGCTAAACTTTTACCTGAGAAAAAGATGATGGTTCAATCCCCAGGAATTAAGAAGGGAAAGAATGGAAGACACAATACAAGGGTGACACAGAAAGGGAACCAAGGAGGGAGATCCCAGGTGGGTGGCTACACAGGTAGAAAGTAACCATGAAGGTACGAAGGGACATGAGCCACTGAGAGTGATGCAGCATGCTGTGGATGGGAGTCAACAAGATATCCCTGGATTTAACAAAAGTAAGAGGTGCCTGGTGATTCCAGAGGGCAATTTTCCATAGGACTGAATTCCACAGATGCAGACTGCAGGGGCTTGAGGAAAAACTGGGAGGGCAAATAGAGACAAGCAGAGACTTTCTTGTCAAGAACATTGGTTATTAATCAAAATTTGTACTCTCATATCTGACTCAAGTTTACCTGACTTAGCCTAATAAAAACATCTCACCTCACTTTTATTCTCTTGCTCCTCCCCTCAACATTGGAGCTCTATTATGAAATAATGGGCTCATCCCCCTCCACATCATCTCCTTTGACATCAGAGGACAAGTTTTGGTTCTTCAAGAAACATTACAGGCCTATTCAACAGCTACATGCCATCTAATCTAAACATCTAAATTACAATTTCTTGCTTTAGCAACTGACAGTTGTTCATTTCAGACACCAAAAGCAGAGCAAGTCCAGATTTAGGTCAAATTCTAGATTACGGCCTTTGGGTAACCTATATAATTTATGCAGCATTTTTAAAAAGATAACTTCAAACATTTTTTTCTTCTTTAAAAGTAGTGTTTGTCCTTAAAGTTTACATCAAATAAGAATAAAGAAAAAATTATAAGCACTTGTTGATACTACTTCTATTTTGGTAGCATGCACTGACACATTTAAACATAAAATGCAAATCTGTTGACTATATACATTATCGTGTAACCTGCTTTTTCCTATTTATTCTGATGAAGTCTTGTATCATTTAATAGCCTTCTAATCCTTTATTTTTAATGGCTATATAATAATCCATTTCAAGAAATCCCCTTAAAGCACTTAAATCACTTTTAATTTTTGATTATATAAATTATGCTGAGATATATACTAGGGATAAAGTCAATGTCAAGTGTATGGAAAATATATGCCTTCGAGGTTGTTGATAACTTGCCCACAGAATGGTTAACCCAATTTGTGATGGTATGAGTGGTACACTCCTCCACATTCCCTCTAAAACTGGGTAGAACTATTTTTTAAATTACCCAATTGAGGAGACTATATTCATTTCCATTATCATATCTTTGAACTCAAGCATTTTTTTAATATTTCAGCACTTCTAGTTCATATTCTTTATTTTTCTGCCAGTGCTCATCTCATTGATACAATACTTTTCCTTTATCAAGGATATTGTTAACTTACACTATAATAATGGAGAGAAGGTAATTTAATAGGGAAACTTTGGCTACCAGAAACAAAATGAACTCAAGTCAATTACGCCAAAAGGATCCTTACAAGGATACTAGTAAGTCAACTTAATCTTATGTGCTGCAAATGGTCTTCTCAATTTTTTATTTCTAAAGTATAAACATCTGTTGTTTACCACATAATTCTCTGTTTAAAGGACTAAGAAAAATACAGGTGAAGACTTGAGGTGGAAGTTACAATTGCTAAAACATACAAATGTAAAATTACTTTTACTTACTAATCACTTACTAAGATGCCTTATTTGTTCAGTCCTTTGAATGAAGTGCTATCATTACTGTTTTACAGATAAAATGTAACAGGCATTCATAATTAGTAAAGTTACAACTGGGTTTTGATTTTACAAATAAGCTCTGTATTGACCATTTATTTTCAACTTTAAAATGTAGAACTTTTTTTGTTGTATTGATCTTTTTTAAAAAAGATTGTTACAAAATTATTCTTAGCTGTTTCAGTACTATTTCTTTCTTAAAAGTAATCACAGGG